GAGTGAGAGTGAGAGAGAGAGAGAGGAGGGGGTTCGGTGAGGATGGCGCCATAAAATGGAGGCCGAGGGTTGCTGTAGGGCTGTGTAAGGGTTTCCACAAAAGCGTAAGAGGGGTTTGTTGTTTCGGAAAAGAAAGAAATGCAGAAGGGTGTCGAAAAAGATTCTTCGAGGTGTTGACATGGGCACGGTAAGAGCCCAAAATCCTAAACCCTATAAGCCCTAAACCATATCAGTGCTTGCGGCTGAGGGTGAGTTCTGGGGTTTAGGGGTTTGGGGGCTTTAGGACTTAAGACTTAGAAGTTTTTTGGTTCAGGCTCTTGCAGGTGAATTACGGGTTGTACTATGGGTTGTCGGTAGGCGTGTATACCCATAGGGCCCATAGTCGTTCCTTTTTGGGGTTCATATATAGAATCGTATAAGGTAATCCCCTAAACCCTAAACCCTAAACCCTAAACCCCTAAACCCTAATCCCCAAAAAGGAACTACTATGGGGCCTATGGGTAGGCCCTTCAGAGATGCGCCTGCTGTTGTCCTTGACGTGTGAGTTCGTATCTGAAGCCGAGGTCCTACCATCCGTGCTCTGCGCATGCGGATGCAACCACAGCCACGGTTTAGGGTTTAGGGTTTAGGGTTTAGGGTTTAGGGGCTAGGGCAAGTTGTTGTGCAGTCACCACTAGGGTTTTGCGTTTGGGGTGCTATTGCTGTTTGGTTTTGGAGCCACAGGTAGGCCTTACCCTTAACCTGCACCCTAAACCTTAAACCCTAAACCCTAAACCCTAAATCCTAAACCCTAAACCCTAAACCCTAAATCCTATAGTGTTCGTGGAGGCAAACCACATCCTGGGCCTGGAAGCTGCGATGGCTCGCGGCGTGCCTGGGCGAGTGTGCAATATGGGTAGTTCTCTAAATTAGGATCCCTTTTTAGGTCCGGCACCCTTATAAAAAGGACCCTAAAGGGGACCCTAATTTAGAAAACTACCCATATGGGAGCTTACGTAATGACATCAGGGTTTAGGTTTAGTATTTATTACAGGGTGCTCACATATGTATGCCTGTCTATATATATATATATATATATATACACATCTCTGTGTGTGTGTGTGGCCAAAGGGCTTGGGTTTAGAGTTTAGGATTTAGGGCTTAGGGTTTAGGGTTTCGGGCTGAGGGAAAAACATGTGAGGAGAAGGTTTGGATTTGCGGCTTAGGGTGGAGGGCGTCATTGGGTGTTGCGGTCTAGCTATTGGGGCTTGGGGTCTAGAGGTTTTTATGCAGTGTAAGGGTGTAAGGTTTAGGGGTGAGCACGAGGGTCACGGACCCCTCATCGCGACGCTTTTGCGTCTTAGCCTCTGCAGGGTTGACATTTCACGAGGTGGTCTGTTGCTCCTGAAGCCCTGGATGACCTCACTAGAAGCCAGGAATCCCAAACCCAAAGCCTCTAACCCCGAAAGTTCTCGAAGACCCTGTAGTATCGCCTCCGCTTTCAGCATTGAACTGCAAATATAGGCTAGGGTCCAGGGTTTAGGAGTTTAGGGCTTAGGGTTCAGGTACATACCGCATAAAAAGCGGGTTTAGGGACTTGAGGGCGCCTCGGGGGATGCGTGGGCCTGGGAAATTCTTGCACCAAAATCCTAAATGCTAGACCCTCGAACTCAAGCCAAACCCCGAAAAGCCATAAACTAGAAAACCCTAAGCCCTAAACCCCATAATTAAGCCTTACAAAAATCGAAAGCCCCACAGGAAACCCTGTAGCTCGAATCTAGAAGAGACCCCGAAGCGAAGCCTAGACGAAACTCCCAAAGCCACGGAACCCCGCAACCCCAATACCCTGAAAAGTTCCCATGCTAAGGCAACCCACCTAAACCGCAAACCCTAAACCCTCAACCCTAAACCCTAATCCCTAAACCCTAATCCCTATAATCCCTAAACCCTAAAACCCTAAACCCTAAACAAAGCCCCAGGAGATGGTAGAGCTGGAGGCGATACCCTTCGTGCGGATCGGCAGCACGCCGGATCCTTTGGGACGCGCCTCGGAAAGACAAAGAATTTGGGGTTTAGGGTTTAGGGTACGACGAGTGAGTTGAGGGTTTAGGGCTTGGGGCGTTTAGGGGGTTTGAATGTTTGCTGTGTTGGGGTGTCCAGGTTTTGGTATGTTTGGAGATTGTGGTTTAAATGGGGTGCGGTTGCGTTGCGTGCGCGGGATTTGACATGTTCAGGCTATAAAAGCAGGTTCTGCGTGTTTTCAAGTTCTCAGAACTACTGCCACTACGACTACGATTACGACTACTACTACTACTACTACTACTACTACTACTACTACTACTACTACTACTGCTGCTACAACAACAACAACAACAACAAGTACTACTACTACTACTACTACTACTACTACTACTACTACTATTCCACAG